AGTCAATAAATGTTATTAACAAGTATTTAACATGCATTCTTTCATTTAATCACAGCAACAATGTAAGGTGGATACTATTAAAAACAAAACCGAACCCATGGCCATGGAGTCAGTTCCAACTCATAGTGATCCTATAGGAGAGAGTAGAACTACCATAGGGTTTCCAAGGCTATAAATCTTTACAGAAGCAGACTGCCACATCTTTCTCCCACAGAGTGGCTGGTGAGTTTAAGCCACCAACCTTTTGGTTAGCACCTGAGCATTTAACCACTTCACCACCAGGGTTCCTTGTGGATAGTACCCCTATATTATGGATGAATTAAGTAACTTAATTCATACAGCTAGTAAACTGCTGTTGAAGAATTCAGATTTAGCTTTCTCTAATCCCAAACCCTGTTTTTAACTCCTATACTAAATCTCTCAAATAAGTGCTTATTAATAATACTTATTAACACTGTTCTTTAGCCAAATTCTCCATTGTTCAAGGCCCAGGTCAATAAAGTCCTTAATTGGGCCTGGCTAAGTCAAAGACAAAGTCAATTTGGGGCAAGGTCAAGAGAGAGAGAATTCCAGGCTCTCAAGAAGTCTCCAGGAGACATGAGAAAGGGTATTTTTAACTCTATAATACTGTTCCTAAGAGCATTTCTTCCCAGTCGGGTGCTGGGCAGTCTCAGAAAGCACACCAAGTGCTGAATTCAGTTCACAGATGGTTTGACTCTCACATTACTGCTAATATTTGGCTCCTACTTCCACAGTGATACTGCCCCCAGACCCGACTCAACGGCAGTCAGTTTGGTTTGGTTTTTTTGGGGGGGATTGTGTTTTGAAATTAGCTTTATTTTTAAAAAACAGTATTTTTCAAAACATTCTTTAAAAATGCAAATTCAGACTTCCCTCGACAAAGTAAATCTGGCCACACAGGCCTGAATTCCAGCAAGATAGGCAGGGTTCACCAGGACTCTGTTTAGCCAGAGTGCCTGGTTTGCCATGCAGGGCTTCTCCTATAACCTCCTTCCTAATACCCTGTACTGATTCCTTATTTGTGTATACAGCCTGAGTTGCCAGCCTTTGGTCTGAAACAACAGCATTCAGTTTATTATTATTTTATTAAGATAATATTGAGGTGATAATTTCCTCAAGGGCTCTGATAAAAAATAACCAGGTGGGGTGTTTTTGTCTATTATGTTCTTTTTTCCTTCTACTTCTGTCTACCTGAGGTTTCTCAAGTCTCTCCCCTATCCCCCCCACCCCTTGTTTTTTTGCCATATTCTCCTCTATCATAGCATGGAAATACAAGCAGTTTAAATACTTGCTCCATTCATTGAATAAATCTTTGTCTTCTTGTTACTTTTAAAATTCAGAAATATTACTTTGTAAACGTTGATTTACATGCTACCATGTAAGAGAGGAGCTCTGGTAGCATAGTGCCTAAGGCACTTGACTGCTAACCAGAAGGCTGGCGGTTCAAACCCACCAGCCACTCCTCGGAAGGAAGGTTGGGCAATCCTACTTCCGTAGTGATACTGCCTCGGAAACCCAAGGAGGGGTCGCTATGAGTCGGGGCGCCGACTCGATGGCATATAACAACAACAACAACAACAACAAACGTTGATTGGAAACATCTCATTTATCATGCTCCTGCCACCTGTGGTGCAGTGAATTATTCGATATGGCCCTTCTAGCCATTGTCTTTGTGACTCCCACCAGATGACTGGGTGTAACTATGCAAATGTAAAGTGCTTGTGGCCCACTAAGGGATTGGATCACTTACTAATAATGTAAATAAGGCACATGGCACCCTTGTGGGGATGGGACCATGCAAATAAGGTGTATGGAACCCTAATATGGGGATTGGTCAGTTTTGGTATCTCACTAGGCTTAAAATATGCAACCCCAGAGGCAGAAAAGGGGGATGTCATTACTATCAAGACAGAGAAAAACCAGGAGTGGAACCTGAGCAGTTAGGCAGTTGGCAGCAGTTAGGCACAGTGAGCTCAAGTCTGAGATCCCTGTGCTGAGATGGAAGACAGCCAGCGGCAGCAGAGGCAGCAGAACCAAGAGACTAGTATAAGATGGAATGACAGGCTTGCCGGATGACAGAATGAGAGCTGAGCATCTTTGGGTAGGAGGCTTACTGGCAGAGTGGGGTGCACCTATCAGTAGAGCTAAAAAAAACTTTGTAACACATGCCCAAGCAGAGCAGAGGCCAAGCCCAGTGGCATGCCTGAGGGCCTGGCCAAGGGGAAGCTGTCCTGATCTAAGATCTGTACTCTGAGTGTTCTTGAACCTGAATTGTAACCTGTTGCTTCCCTAATTAATCCCATAATCGTGAGTATTGTGTGTGAGTTCTATGTAGCCACGGCAATGAATTACTGAACCCAGTAGAAAAGTAGAGTGCCATGGGAGGGACAGTTGGTATAAGAATTGGTAAAAAGGTTATAAGGTGATGGCATGTCTGACCTCCACCTCATAGGAACCAGCATTGAGCTACTGATGGTGATTTTTCGCCTCCTGCTGTGAAGTTAGAGGTTGGAAGATGCCGCCCCTGTGCCCTTTTTGCACCACTTGTAAAGAAAATTAGTTTCTCACTGCATCTAGTTGAGTAGGTCATGGTCTTCCAAAGCTCACTGTGTCTAACTGCTGCCAAGCAGAAGGTTCATGATCTGTAGAGGGAAGCAAGAGGAAGCTCTAAGCTGTGGGCCTGTGATGAAGGCCACAGACAGGATGCAGGGTAGAAGGGGCACAGCTAGAAGGGGAGCTTTGCAATGATTAAAACACTCAACTTAATTTTAAATACTGCTATTTAAGTTCACTATTAAAACCCTGAAAGATCACGTGGGAAAAAGAGCATTGACTTGGAAATCAAGGGTTCTACAGTATAAATGCAGACCCAGTGAGCCTGCTCTGGAGTCAGACCAATCTGGCTTTGAATCTCATTTCTACCATAGCCCCTAAGACCTTGGTTAACTGACTTAACTTTGCAGTGCCTCCACTGTCTCATCATTAAAAAAACAAACCAAATCAAATGCCATAGTTAATTCCTAGTCATAGTAACCCCTTAGGAGAGAGCAGAACTGTCCCATTGAGTTTCCAAGGCAATATCTTTATGGGAGCAGACTGCCTCATCCTTCTCCCATGGAATAGCTGGTGGGTTTGAACTGCCAAACTTCTGGTTAGCAGCTGAATGCTTTAAACACTGTCACCAAAAATCCTTCATCAGGAAAAAAAGGATGAAACCCAGCCTTTGCACTGGTTCATTTAGGTTGGACCCCTCCTGAGAATTTGCATTTCCACCCTAGATAGGTTGTTGTTGTTAGGTGCTGTTAAGTTGGCTCTGACTCATAGCAATCTGAACCATATGCAACAGAACAAAACACTGTGCCAATTCTTCGCTATCCTCACAATCTTTGCTGTGCTTGAGCCCATCCTTGTTGCAGCCACTGTGTCAATCCATCTAGTTGATTTTAAGATCTTATGTATACACAGGAGTCACCTGGGAGTCTACAAAAATTACCTGGGGATCTTGTTAAAATGTAGATTCTGATCCAGTACACCGAGTGGAAATGCAAATTCTTGGCAGGGCTCCAACCAGAATGAACTGGTTTGAAGCCCTAGAAAATCCTCTATAAGATTTTCATGAGGGTTAAATAAGATAATATATCCTAAACATTTATACACAAACCAAACCAAAGTCCCTGCCATCGAGTCAATTCCAACTCATAGCAACCCTCACTGGGTTCCCAAGGCTATAAATCTTCACAGAAGCAGACTGCCTCATCTTTCTTCCAGGGAGCAGCTGGTAGGTTTGAACCACTGACCTTTTTGGTTAGCAGCCAAATGCCTTACAGTTCCTGACAAATACAGTGAAACCTATGAGAGCTAAACGCGACAGGACTGCTTTGTTTTTCTTGGTCTTACAAATTGTTCACCTTTGATGGTACAATCTTACCATTTCTGTTGCTCCTTTTAGTGGAAAATATGTGAGTTTTCCTTCTCTGACAGGTTTCCACCTTATCCAAGTTCAGGCTTTGCAAGTTTTAAGTAGTAAATAAGAAATTTTAATTTATCATGAAAATCATGTCTGTTGTGTTAACAGCAATATGACTTCTACAGGTTTTAGTTTCCTGATTTATAAGGTGAAGGTCAGCCTAGATGTACTTGGAAGTTTTTCCCACTTCTAATTTTCTGTGGTAGAGCTTCCTAGTGAGTGTGAAAATGAGCAACAGGAGTACCTGTTATTTTGAGATGCATAAACCAATTCCTTGGATTGGTTTTAAGACTTCTCTACCATTTTGGATGCTATACATTTGAAGTCTTTCCCAGGGCTGTTGTCCCTATTCAGTGAATTACAAACACCAGCTTCCCTAAATTCATTACACCTTAGTGTATGATGCCTGGAACTCAATTTTCCCTTGTTGTTGTTGTTTGCCATTGAGTCGGACCCGACTCATAGCGACCCCTCCTTGGGTTTCCGAAGCAGTATCACTATGGAAATAGATTACCCAATCTTCCTTCTGAGGAGTGGCTGGTGGTTTGAACCACCAGCCTTCTGGTTAGCAGTCAAATGCCTTAGGCACTATGCTACCTTAGTGCTCCTTTAATGATTTTATTAGTATGGTCACAAGTTGGAAGTATACAGTACATTGTTAATGTAACTGAATACAAATTACTTGAAATCAGTACATTACATATGTGTGCCAAGTTTTAAAATGTCAACTCTGAGTGATCATGCATTTCTCATGCATTTGCACCTGTATCCTCAAACTGCGTAACTCGATCTGGGCTTATTCTCGTTGTGTCTTGGTGTGCACCTCAGACAGCATGGGGCAGGATTTGCTGTTCCTCTCCTCAGATCCAGATTTCCAAGAGCAAGTGTTGAGCTCAGGCATTTCACGGAGTGTGGTGGCAACACTGGTTTTTGCTTCGGTTCAAGTAAAAATGCAATTACCAGCTATTGCTTGTGTGAGTCACCTGATTCCCCCAGAGCTTGGGCAAGCACACAGTTTCTGAACCCATGTTTCCTCTGTGGGACAACAGTCTAGAACTGAGGTGCACAGTCTTCCAACATGCTGTCAGTGATATAGCTGGAAGCAAGATGGGATTCATAGTAACTTTTTTCATCGAAAGTATTAACAGTCCAAGCAACAACCTGAATTCCTTTAGCTGACCATTTATTCAAGTAGGCCCTGGAGAAAAAGAGAAAAACCAGTCCTGTTAGAACAATGACCAGCTGCACCAGGAATGTATACCAGGCGCTAACAATGGTATTCATGGCATACAAATAGTGTCAAGAAATAGCCTCTGAACTGACCTCTGCAAATATTTATTGAATGAATGCACACATGACTAAATATGAAAATTATAACTTTATGAACTATTAAGCATGTAATCAGCTGAAATATACAGCTATAAAAATGTACAAGGACAGATACAGAGACTCATAGCTGGTGAGAAAATGGAAAGTTTCTTGGAAGCAATGGAGCAGAGCCTATAATGTCCAGAAGGGAAGATGGAAAGGATAAGGTGCCCTCACTCTAGCTCTGTCCTGGATACTGTGTTGGTTTTCAAAGGGAATCAATCCCAAGAAATTTAGTCCTTCTTTCATCATGGTTTGACACATTCACTTTTACTTTAAAATGCAATAAAAAGTAAGAATATCTCATCAACCTGCTTTGGCAACAGTGAAACATGCCTGAACTTTTCCCACTGAAGAAGCCAGTGGCATTCTAGCTTAATGAAAGCACAATGGGCTTTGCAGTTAGAACGAACACATGTTAATCTCTGTTAATCTTTCCTTTCCAAGAAGAGCATTCTGGAAGTATGAGATGGAAAGAGAAAAGACCTTCCAACTTACGGGGATACAAAATCCTTTTGCATGAGGAAAGCTGAAATTCCACACAGGTACCACAAGATATTATGCATGCTCCAATCGAGCAAAATGTCCATCACCACAAATGTGGACTGTTTCCAGAAAGAATTATAACGTGGTTTCCCATCTCCTGTATAGCTAAGGCTCCAAGGTCTGTGAGTTAAAGCTGTTATTACATTCTGATCTGCTTGTCTCATCTGAAAAGAAATTTTGGAAAATAAATTATTATATTTAAAGTATAATACTTGTCATTTGTTCTTCAGATTTAGCCAATGTGCTCATTCTGATGCAGTGGACATAGTTGGTATCCTAGCCCCATGTCTACTAAACAAATGTACTCTATCATAAATACTTTGAGAAACTAATGTGATAGATATAAAATATTTAATGTACAATGTAAGTAACACTTCCTTCAAAACCCTAAAAGAACTATAATCCTATCTATAAAATAATAGAAATTTATCAAACCAGGGATGAGAGAGAGGGGAGGAAAACATGCTACATAGGTAAGATTTGGGTGAAGGGAAAGGCAAGAGATCAAAAGCAAGTGACCACGGCAATAACACTAAGGAAAAGGAAGACATGGAGAAGTGCACAACAGGTATAAACAACAAAGGTTAAATACTTCTAAATATACAATACTGCATAAACAGTAATAACAAGTAATAATAATCTGTGGGTGGATACATAGGTGGTTGTTGTTGTTATGGGCCGTTGAGTCGGACCCAACTCATAGCGACTCCTCCTTGGGTTTCCAAGGCAATATCACTATAGAAGTAGATTGCCCCATCTTCCTTTCAAGGAGTGGCTGGTGGGTTTGAACCACCAGCCTTCTGGTTAGTAGTCAAGTGCCTTAGGCACTATGCTACCAGAGCTCCTGGATACATAGGTAGAGAGGCTAAATGATTAGGTATTGGTAGGCAAAAGGGAATATACCCATGACAATGACCACATGTAAGACTGGCAGACAACATGTCTACATGTGTATTTGTATATGCTGTGAGAATGCTCATATATATAACAGAGCTAACAGGAGGCAAAATTATGATAACTTTTTAGCCACAGCCAAATATCCAGAGGGAGTGAGTTGCTGGGCCTACAGACTTGGGACCATGGTCATGGGGGGCATTGAGCACAATTAGTGTAACATACTGGACAAAAAAATTGTTCTATATTCTACTGTGGTTAAGTAGCAACTGGGTTCTCAAAAGCTTGCAAGTGGCTATCTATGATGCAACAATTAGACTCTACTTGTGCACAGCAAAGAAGAGTGAAGAACACATCAAAAAAGAACAAAGAGCCAAAATCAACACTTTAAATGAACACCTCCAACAATTAGAGAAAGAACAGCAAGAAAAGCCTACAGTCACCATAAGAAAGGAAATAATCAAGATTCGAGCAGAAATCAATGAAACAGAAAATAGAAGGGCTATAGAAAAAATCAACAAGACCAGAAGTTGGTTTTTTGAA